CTCAATCGTAGGTGCGCCAATATTAATTGGGAGGTCCCTGGATGCTGCTCCGATGTTGACTGCCTTCAGAGGAGCTGGTCGATTTAGGAGTTCCTTAAAGTGCTCTACCCACCTATTTCGCTGTTGTTCAGTGTTGCTGATTACTTTGCCTTCCTTGTTTTTCACTGGTCGTTCTGGTTTACGATAGTTCCCGGCGAGCTTCTTTGTAGTTTCATACAATTGTCTCAAGTTTCCGTCTCTTGCAGCCTTTTCCGCCGTCATTGCTAGATCTTCCACGTATTTTCGTTTGTCAGCTCTGATGCTCTTCTTCACTTCCCTGTTTGCTTCTGTGTATGCAGCTTGTGCGGTAACTTTCTCCGCTCTTGTTCGGCTGACATTGATTGCTGCCTTCTTGTTCCTCCTTTCTTCAATTTTTGCGAGAGTATCAACAGAGATCCATTCCTTATGATGCTGCTTCTTGCGACCAAGGACCTCCTGACATGTTGAAGTGATTGCCTCCTTAATCCCTTTCCAATTGTTCTCCAATGTTGTGTCCTCTCCATTGTGTAGATCCTGTAAGGCCTGGAACTTATTGGTGAGGGCTATCTTGAATTCGTTGAGCTTTACAGTATCCCGAAGAAAGGCCGTATTAAAGTTCTGTGATGTTGTCTGTCCCGTTGTCCAGTGCTTCTTTAGTTGCAGTTTCATTTTGGCGATTAGCAAATGGTGATCTGAGGCTACATCAGCTCCTCTCCTGGTTCTCACATCCTCCATAGTCCTTCTGAACGTTTTGTTGATACAGATATGATCAATCTGGTTTTGAGTAGTGTGATCCGGTGAAATCCATGTGGCTTTGTGAATGCGTTTGTGCGGGAATATTGTGCCACCGATGACCAGTTTGTTGAAGGCACATAGGTTTGCAAATCTCTCACCGTTTTCGTTTCTTTCTCCCAGTCCATGTCGTCCCATGATGTCTTCATATCCAGTGTTGTCCATTCCAACCTTGGCATTCAGGTCTCCCATAAGAATCGTCAAATCCTTTGGTGAACATTTATCGACGATTGACTGCAGCCTTTCGTAGAATTGATCTTTGTCGTCATCATTGTAGTCATTGGTAGGTGCATAACATTGGATGACGTTCATTGTAATGTCCTCTTTCTTTGTTTTGAAGGATGCTTTAATGATCCTAGGTCCATGAGATTCCCATCCTATTAGTGCCTTTTGTGCATGTTTGGACAGCATCAATGCAACTCCTTGTGTATGTGAAGCATTTTCCTCTTCATGACCAGAGTATAACAGCAGTTCCCCTGAAGCTAGTCTCAGTTGTCCTACTTGTGTCCAATGTGTTTCACTGATTCCAAGCACCTCGAGGTTGTATCTTCTCATTTCTGCCGCAACTTGAAATAGTCTTCCAGTCTCCCACAATGTACGAACGTTCCATGTACCTAAAAAAATGGTTACTCTGGTTGTCAGAAGAGGCATCAGCCCCGTGACTTCCGAGGGAACTCGGCTTTCATCACGCGACGTCATAATTCTTCCTCCAACTCCCAGGGTAGAGTTAAAATGGTTTGAATTATTTTTTCTGGTTAGCGTTTTTTTGGCAAGTTAGTTTTTGACGGAATGGGGTCGCGAACCCCATGTCCAACCCTCCTCCTTTACCCGGGCTTGGGACCGGCAGTAGCCCCGAAGGTTCTACTGGCGGAGTTTTCTTTTAGTATGTTTAAGTCGAAATGTCACCCTTTTCCTATTGAAAAATGTCAGATTTACACTGTCATAGAATTTCTCTTTTCATCTCAAATAGGCCTACACGCTTACTACTAATTGAGGCATGGTTACTGACTTAGTTAAAAGTACAACTATAGATCTGCTTAGAGCACAGAAATGTACTCTCAAATAACTAATAGAAACTGATAGATTTTTTTATAGACAATGTGAACATAATTAAAATGATCAGTGAAGTTGAAGGAATGAAGTAATTAACTGCCTATAATAGTGTAAGATAGTTTAGTGTGCATAATTTTGATGTCGAACCCAGAGGGCTCGTCTTAGCTTTTGTAGAACAACTTAATCAACCTATCTATTATTTACTCGTTTTTTTGACCTTGTCAATCATTCACTTAAATCTAGGTCGTTTTTATTCCAGCATGTGTGTTCACTGCTCACTGAGCGAATCAAAAACCTTTAGCTTATTTTTGTTTGACTATCAATCCTTAGTTATGCCTCGTCACAATGAGTTAGCTCACTGTCCTTCTCCATTTCGCTTTGTTTTACTTTCACGTGTTGTATTCTCGTTTCTGTCTGCACAAACGATTGACTGAAATAAACTCATCTAACCAAATCCCATCGTTGGCTTTTAATTACCATCGTCGCACAAACTCGGTTCGGGGAGATATCTTTCATGGTACATTCGATTGTTCGTCTACATTGGAGTCAGATCACGGGCCACTAAAATACTTGCATAATCAACAAACTTGGTAAAGTCAAACACACAGACCATAGGATATTAGTCAACTAGTTTAAAGATTAAGGGCCCTCCCTATATTATGAAACCCTCAAGATGATAGATTCGAATGTCGATGGTGTAAGGATATTCATCAAATATCCAACGAAGAATCATTTTGTAAGCGTAAATTCTATTGGTCGATTACTATTGGTCAGTATTATGGTTGTCCTGGTTATCAATGTGTTAAGATATTCATCCAATATCCTAACAGAATTATTGGTCTAATCCTATTGGTCGATTTCTATTGGTCAAAATTATGGTCGTTTTAACTGTCAAAGTCAAATACTTCAATATTGTCTCTTATTGGTCATCCGGACTGTCAATGTCATTTCAAATGTTCTTTCTTATTGGTTGTCCTGACTATCAATGTCACTTCAAATGTTACTTCCTATTGGTCGTCTTAACTGTCAATGTCACAGACTTCGATGCTGTTTCCTATTCAACCTAACTGTATAAATATGCATTATCTGTAACGTTTCGTGACCGGGATCCTTATCTTCTTCTGGACTCGGACCTCGTACTTTCTGGATGCTTGTAGAATACAGGTTCTACTTCATATCAATTCTTCTTATTTTTACTCAATATGGGGGTTAGGGATACTCAGATTACAGTAGCCTGTCGTTGTCGCCGGATCCTCAATCCTCCCTCTCTCTCGTTTTAAGACTAAAGGGTAAACTCGTCATAGTTTCAAGCAACATCAAATTGACATGTATTACGTGTAATTCGTAACAGATGTAATAATTATATAGTGCAGCGCTACAATAAACTCTTTTACTCAAGACTAAACAAATAACCGCACATTATTTAACTAGAATATAAATTCATCAATTTTTTTTCTGCTTACCGATGGTTGTTGATATTCCAATTCAATTTCACCATTCAATGCTGTGATTCGTGCATCAACATTATCATTTCGTGATGGTATCATTAAACTATTAGATAAATTTGACCAATATTGATGATGCTGAGTAATCAATTGTGAATCTTCAATGCCAAGTTTACAATCACCAGTTGGTAAACATTCTGTCAGTACACCAATCACTACACTACCATAATTACGCATCTAAAGGTAATGAAAAAAACGAATCAGTAAGTGTTGATCAATAAGCCATGATAGATTGTAAGTGATGAATTATTTCATGTGAACTGACTGAAGATACTCAATGTACTGACTTATTGTGATGAAGTTGTGTTGTTCTCTGAACTGAGGATGTTTTAATTGTGGAGCTTTCATCATTGTTGGTGTTCTTCTGAACAATAACCGTCATCATCATCATCAGCACAAACTTCAGCGAGAGAAGTGCAGACTATTAAACAATAGAGGATTTCATTTGTTGACATTCATTATTCTTGAAACCATGAATCGATCAATGTTAGTTAGACCACCATTAGAAACCTGGAAGCACTGGATGACGGCCGTTTCGTCCTGGTATGGGACTCCTCAGCAGTGAATTGATCAAGTTAAAAATTAACACCGTTAAATACCGGCTCAATGGTCAGATGCTTAGGCGTTCGACTACAATGCCGAAGGTTCAAGGTTCGGATCCTGCGGGGTGTACAGGAGTCGTGGATGCGCACTGCTGAGGAGTCCCTTACGAGGGCGAAACGGCCGTCTTTCAGTGCTTCCAGGTTTCTAATGGTGATCTAACTAACATTGATCGATTCATGGTTTCAAAAATGTGTAACTCAACAATCTTCACAACCCTGTAGTGATCATTTGTTATTATTGCCGTTCTGGTTCCTAGTCTTATGATTGTATGATACCGAAGAATTATTAAGGATTTTAAAAAATAAAAGATGACAATGAGACACTTGTTTATTATCAATGATATCGCTTTTGCTTGACCTAATTACATATGATCAGTGTAAGTGATCGATCAGTGAGTGAAAACAAATGAATCTAGCCATCTATGCTAATTGTATATAGTAAACATCTGTTAACCCCACCCCCAGTGAAGCAAAGGCCGCCTATCAGCATTCTTCAACCTACTCTATCCTGAGACTTCTTTTCCAGTTCTATCGATTGTTGTATCTTCCGAATGATCTCTTTCATGGTTCTCCATGTTCACGTCCCAAACAATAGAATGGTCTTGTGATTTGTATTGAAAATGCTGTCTTTGGTGTTAATTGACAGTTGCCTTGAGTTCCGAACGTCACTCAACTGAAGATATGCTGCTCTTTCTTTACCGATCCATGCCAGCATATCTGCATCAGATCCACCTTGTTTATCAGTAATGCTGCCCAGATACGTAAATGTTTCTACATCCTCCGATGCTTCTTCATTAAGTGTGATTTGGTTAGGGTGCTTGTTGTGTTGTATCGGAGAATCCTGCTTTTCTGCTTGTTTATATTAAGACCTACTACTGGAGAGGCTGCTGCTACACTGGTCGTGTTCTCTTGCATTTGTTATTGAGTGTGCGATAGAAGAGCCAGATCATCCAGCTGCGTCCTAGCTGTCCACTGTATGTCGTGCTACCCTCCAGATGTTTACCTCTTCATAATGCAGTCGATGAGCAGGAGAAAGAGAAAGGGTGAGAGTAAGCAACCTTGCCTGACACCGGTCTTCACCTCGAATAAGTCCATCAGCTAACCTCCATGCACGATTTTGCACGATATTGACTATCTTCTCAGACACACCATAGTATTGAAGAGGCCTCCATAGTGTCAACCTGCCTACGATGACGAATGTTTTCGCCTAGTCAATGAAGTTGATGTAGAGTGGTAAATTCTATTTACTTAATCATTCCACAATGATCCTTAGTGTGGCGATTTCGTCAGTACATGACTAATGCTTACGAAATCCAGCCTGTTCATCTTGAAGTTGAGCATCTATTGAATCTTTCATTCTATTGAAGATTTTTCTTGGTATTATAAAAAAAGAGATGCAAATGTTATTACCGTATCTATCATCATAGTGTACAATACCCTATTGTATGGCCTTATTGTCTTACTTATAGAAGAGGTCAAATTCTAATACAGTTTTCTCAATATTACAACAATCTGACTAATAAATTCCATTGTGACCACATCTTGTTCCTCCACGACAGAGAACAAATTATTCTGAAAGTAATTTTGAAATTCGTTTCAGCAATCAGATTTGTAATTGATCTTGAAAAATGTGATGTATTTGCGCTATACAATTCAAACAATTTGCACATTTGAAATCATTAATCAATCATCATTGTTAGACCACCAATAGAAACCTGGAAGCATTGGACGGCAGTTCCGTCCTAGTATGGGACTCCTCAGCAGTGCGCATCCACGACTCCTGCTCCTCGCAGGATTCGAACCCGGGACCTTTGGAATTGTAGGCAAACGCCTTACCATCGGACCACTGGGCCGGCATCCAACGGTGTTAATGTCTAACTCTGATTGATCTAGGGATTTTGCGCGACCTCACCCATTTGTCTTTGGTAGTTACTGCCTACACCCGACAGGGCTGAACTCCACTGGTCACGTCTTCTCAAGTAGAACTCCGAGAATTTCCTCACGAAGCTAGTCACTAGTGAGCACTGTTACGAGCAGGAGTCGTGGATGCGCACTGCTGAGGAGTCCCATACTAGGACGAAACGGCCGTCCAGTGCTTCCAGGTTTCTAATGGTGGTCTAACAATGATGACTGATTAATGATTTCAAATGTGTAAAAACGCTAACCTACAAAACTGTGCCCCAATATATCAAACAATTCGGTCACACATATCACACTTGTCAAGGCATTTTGATATGAAGATGAATAAAAGGTCAATTAAATAAAAGTTCAAATAGGCATAAGTTGGTAATTGTAAATAAAAGGAGAGAGAAAATTAACGTAATATGAAAAGAATAAGCAAAAGGGTAGGAAATTGTCACATTAACTGTAGGCTTAAAGATTACCAGGGTAAATTCAAGGTTATGACAAACTGTTTCTGCACACATAAGGAGGATTTTAATTTTCGCAAAACCAAGGTCTCTATAAACCTCAAAATTCGTCCTGCAACATTTCTATACAATGTTTTGAAGGCTGTCTTGATGTCAGTCTTAAGCGCCCTGTCTCAATTATGTGTTTGGCGATCGATGAACATGGTTTTCTATTTCCAACGCTAATCGGCTCATCTGACGTTAACTGATTTTGAAGCCACTTAGGTACATGTGTTCCATAACCCTTGATTGCAAAGTCCGATTACTCCTCACTATGTATGTGTGTCCACACGGACATGTAAATTGATAAATACAATGGGATGTGATGTAATCATTCGAGCAACGTTTAGGTCTATGTGAAATCATGGACTTGGTCTTTTTTTCAATGATAATCAGTTTAGCAGAGTTGTATATTTTCTCTATGTCTGCTTTTAGTCTCTGTCTTAATTATTAGACCAGATTGTTCGAAATGTATAGCACAAATGCATCATCACATTTTTCAGATCAATTACGTCTTCTCACTATTTTATCAAAATTCATAAAATGGACTGATTGTTTTAAATCAGATTTATGTTAAGTCTTGAACAGTTAAACATTCGAGTATTCACCGTTAACAGATAAAATTAGTTAATTGAATTAAATCTAAAAGCAGAAAAATCAACAACGGAGAAAATGTTAACTCCATACACTTCCTTCAAATTTCTTATTACTACGTTGCTTACTTACTTACTTACGCCTGTTAATCCCAATGGAGCGCAGGTCACCGAACAGCATTATACAACCTACTCTGTTCTCCGTCTTCCTTTCCGTTCCTACCCAATTATTCTTCGGCCTTTTGATGTCTGCTTTTAATTCTCAACATAATGTCTTCTTTGATCTTCCTCTTTTCTTTTGACCTTGAGGATTTCAAATGATGGTTCGCCTTGTCATGCAGTTGGATACTTTCCCCAATGTTTAGCCTATCCACTTCTAGCACTTTTTCATGATTTCTCCCTCTACTGGAATCTTGTTTGTTTTCTCCTTAGAGTAGGTTGTCTCTGATAGTGTCTAGCAAAAGGGGCCTTGGTATCTTGCGTAGAAAACTGTTAATAAACACTTGTATCTTGTGTATGATGGCTTTTGTAGTTTTCCAAGTTTCCGCTTCATTCAGTAGAACTGTCTTCATATTTGTATTGAAAATTGTGACTTTACTGTGTGGCTGATCGCGGTTTTGAGTTCCGGATGTTGTTCACTTGTAGAAATGCTGTCCTTGTTTTATCAATCCGTCCATTCATATCTGCATCAGATCCACCTCACTCACTTTGTGATGCTACTCATCAAATTTTTTACCATTAATAATCATGAAAAACCTAATTGAAAAACTTACTAATGAACCTTTCAATTCGGGTATTTCTAAATAAGTTGGTCGATGTACAGAGAAACGCCAATTGAATTGACTTAAACCAATAATTAATTCATTGACATCAGTATCTTTTAGACCAAGTTTTAAATCAATCATTGGTCCACCTGGATATCTTGAATCATCAGTTGAAATGATCTTGAAAAAATACAAAAAGAGTTTTTTATTAAATTTCAT